TCAGCGCATACTGCAGTCAGACTTTTGCGACATGATTCGTGAAGTTTATGAGCATATATATACAACTGTTGATATTAATGGGTCAGAAGAAGTTAGTATTGTTTTGTTGTATTATGGGTTTTACACAAACGTAATTTTCTAAGCCTCAATGTTGTCGTTTATGCTACTGAGTAATCCATTCATGTAAACTACTAGCGGAAATTGTTGTCGTCTCCACTTGGTTTATTCAATAAAGGATAGATGCTTTTAAAAGCCTACTAGAAAAGTGCCGTTACATGTTCTCAAGGCCCAAGCCTGAAGTTCACGGAGATTATGGAATGAGTTTAAAATCACAAGGTGAAATAGCTCAAAACCCACCACAATGGCTTAGGTATATACACTCACTGTACCCTTAAAACATGAGATTATAATTACTTTATACTTTTCTACGGACTAGTTCCTTCTCCTTTTATCATACAATCATATGCAATCTTTTACATATTACTACCATTGAAGTAACTGCTTCTATGAATTTATTCAGTCTTCAGTGATAAGGGTGGGAGGTATACGACCTACATTAATCCTTGCAGTTTGTAACACTGTAGAGGTCCAATCTCGTTTTGAATACATCAGCAGGAGGTGCTGATATTACTTGTTCCGCTAGAGAATTCCAGTAATTCACTACTCGGTGCGAGAAACGAAACTCCAGACGTAAAACGGTTTGATCTCGGTTTTTGAACTTTCTTCGAATGTCCTCTCAAATGATCAGTCCTAGATGGGAGGAAAAGATAAGACATTATTGTCAGGGTCATCGTTCATTATGGGATAAGCCAATATTATATTACACCGTATTCTACAGCAAGATCACGGAAATAAATTGAGTTGTGTTAGTTTGTCTTCATAAGAGAGACCTTTTACATTTTATTCCCTCATCGTTGGACTCGTTCCGGCATACCCGCCCCATACTGAGAGGGCGAAAAGCGGATGTCCGGCGCCTTAACCGGGTTGGTGGATACGGAGGGTCCACTCAGGGATGTTGGAAAACCCTGATTCCAAACCAATGGTGCACATAGACCCTAGAATCCTGAGAAAACAAATGTCGTGTGAACCTATTGTTGGTCACCGGCTACCAGTGGGGCTGAACCTCCCTACGTTGCTTCACTGCCTTATAGATTAAAGCTTTATGTCAAAGGTGATCCTCCTAAAAGGCCGCCTGCTTCTGTTTGGGCTGCTGGGTAGTATTCCAGCCCACAAATAAATCAAATTATTTATGCGGCGCATATATATTTGGTGTCTTCTTGTACCAACGTTTATGTGCTTGAATAAATAGACCTAAGGGGCCCAGCCAAGACGTGGTATCGTTCCGTAAAGTCATTGGCAACCAGACAGCCGTATTAGTCGGTGTAAACTACCTAGGTGATGTCCGCCTGATTATCGTAATCAGTGGTTAAAGACTTTGAATGACAGGGTTTGTAGTAGCGCAGGCGCATCTATTTTCTATCTGCCCAGGTTATTATCTGAATTCCTCATAGTTCTTTATTACATTAATTTGTATTCTCTTGAATGATATCTTCGATGCCTAATCTTTCGTATTATCGGTGATACTATTACTACATCTACTATTCTGTGATAAGACCTTACAATTTCATCTTGTGTGCTAATGAGATATGACAATGTGAACCGATTTAGATACATACTAGGTTCTAAATAGTAACTGACCGACTTTTATTCTTCATTTTATTTAAACTCTTATTAGGTGAAAGCAAGTGCAACAGCCAAAGCTACTGTTGCAGCTTTTGCTGCAAGTGAAGGACACGCTCATCCACGTGTTATAGAACTACCAAAAACTAATGAAGGTCTAGGTTTCAATGTTATGGGTGGTAAAGAACAAAATTCACCTATTTACATAAGTCGAATTATTCCTGGTGGTGTTGCAGATCGTCATGGTGGTTTAAAACGTGGTGATCAATTACTATCAGTAAATGGGATTTCTGTGGAGAGCGAACATCATGAAAGAGCTGTTGAACTTTTGAAATTAGCACAAGGTGATGTACCGTAGAATTTAAGATGTTTTTTCTCTATCAATACATGTGATTTTTCATTATTATAGAGTTTCATGTCTACATACTTATTATCTAATAATCACGTTCTCACAATGCTAGAATACTCGTCTATATATGCTTGTTCTAATTCACATTATGCGTAGTTTTAGTATATTCCTAATTACTTGTTATACATTGTTTTTCCAGTTTAAATCATATCAAACAAATTATAATAATCTCCTTTCCATTATAGGTACTGTGAAACTTGTAGTAAGATATACACCACGTATTCTTGAAGAGATGGAAGCACGTTTTGACAAGCAAAAAGCTCGACGTCGGCAACTTAGTTAATACAAATTTGGAGGTGTGTATGCATGATGCTGTGCTGTATCACTCACTAAATTATTTAGACGAACACTGCAGGTTAAGTTGTCTAATAACTTTCTTCAAATAGTTTGTTTTTTTCAACTCTGTCTTTTTATTCTAACTTGTTACATTCTCATTAGGATCTGTATATAATTTGTTGTTTATACTAGTTTTTGATCATTTTCAATTTTTCATTATACTCTGTTTTAACATGCTGTAGTCATTTAGACAAAATATTTAATTCTTACGTAACAATGATTTCGATGACTTTAAAATAGAATATTTGTCAAACTATAATTCAGTCATTAATCATTTATTTATTTGTAAAATTACAACTTAAGTTATTGAAGTAGGCTTGTAAGCATGATCACTCCGTTTTTGATGACTTATGTTGACTGGTTATTGCTTCTAAATGTCTCATTAAAATATATTTATGGGAATTTCATGGATTATGCTGAGACATGTACATGTATGATATATGATCACTTCAGCTGTGAGAAACTAACAATGGTAGAAATTCCACTGAATATATGTTTGTAATCTAACGACTATTGTCTGTGGAAGTAAGTACTAGATTTGAGACAATGGATGTAATGAGATACGAATGATCCAATAAACGTTAAAATGGGAATGTACGTAGTTGAGTTATCGTTCTAGGTAAGGACACGTTATATAAGCGTACAAAGAGAGGAAATTAACAAAATAAGACTACATTCGAGGCGAAGGAAATGAGATCAAATGACACCTAACTCTAAATTTAAATTAAGGTAGAGAATAAATGCAACTACGAATTCATCACGTCCGAGCTCCTGGCGGCCTTGGAAAATGAAAATGTGCCTTCGGGTCTAAATGGATATTTGAATTATTAGTTATCAATTCGCAAATTAGTTATGGTGTCCATGTAGAGTGACGGCATACAACCACCTCTCTCCATTGTTCCATTCGAGCAGTGGGGTTAGGCAGGGTTGCCCAATCTCACCATTTCTCTTCAACTTTGCCATCGACGACATTCTGGAAACAGCTCTGGTGGATGTAAGAAATGGCGGTGTGAATCTGTTGTCTGGAAAGAGACTTCTCGACCTTGAGTATGCGGATGATATTGTCTTACTGTGCGATAATGCCCAAGGCATGCAATCCGCACTTAATCAGTTGGCAATCAGTGTCCGTAGGTATGGTATGTGCTTTGCACCTTCGAAGTGCGAAGTACTTCTACAAGTCTGGCAGGATTCCAATCCTGTACTCACCCTGGATAGTGAGCAAATAGTAGTCGAGAATGTCATGTATCTAGGTAGTTGGTGGTGGCGTGAGTGACGAGATCAGTTCATGTATAGTGAAAGCCAGAGAGGCTTATGCCAATCCGGGCCCACTTTGGCGCTTTCGTGATGTCAGTCTGGTTGTAAAAGGATGTTAGACAACCCTCTGCATTCGATCCTCTCTGTCTCCGAAGGTTTGCTGCAACTAGTGGCAACACCATGTTAGTGATGCAGAGGTTCGGCATCGTGTGTTCGGGCAGAGACGATAATGCATTTGGTGTCACCATCTTGAAACACCGACTTCGGTGGCTTGGACATGTCCTACGAATGTCATCCCAGAGAATTCCACGTCGTGCACTGTTTGCCGACTCGGACTGGTTGGAAGAAGCGGAAAGGTGGTCAGTGTATGACATGGTGTCGTGGTATGAAAGAAAGCTTCAAAGGACTGGCTTCTGTTGGTCCCTCACGGCTCCCTGGTTGGGGTCCGAGAGATGGTGCAACACAGTGGCCAGAGACGTTATCGGATATGGCTCAGAATAGAAGCCAGTGGCAATCCTGCTGTAACCTTTTACTTTCTTCATAAAGTGGTTGTGTCTCCCTTAACTGAAAGATTTCTTCTGATTGTACCTTCCCGTCCCCTCATTATTACTACACTACCTTACACCAATCTCTTCGTTATTGTTCGTTTTTCTTACACTCCGTATCTTTTCCTCCTCTTTAAATTCTCATTGTTTTGTGTGGCGCATATATATTTGGCGCTCTCTTGTACCAATATTTATGTGTCCAAATAAATAAATAATATGGTGTCTAGGTCACGTCCTCCACGCATAGGCACAATATATAATAAACCCCGATGGAGAGCGAATTCGCAGTTTTTCTCTAGTCATGACTGTTAAGGTAGGCCATATTAGTGGATGCAGATTGCCTAGTTCGTATTCAATCGATCACTGTAATCAATCATTGGAGAGTTGAGCGACATGGGTCAGAATCAGTACCAGATAAATTCCTTGTTTCGTGCTTTAAAATTGTTGTTCTTACTTTCGCCAGTTCGTTTTTCTTAGAATCATACTGTTTGCGCTTAACGCTTTTTTTACTTCTACAGATACTGTTACTAATTCTAATGCACTGGCACTTGTGTAAGCAGTTTTATCTCGATATGATGTGGTGTGACAGTAACTTATGTACAAAGTTCTGTGTTGTTTACGACTGACTGCCAACATTACAATTCACAAACTCAATAAAACTCACTAGAGAGGGTGTCGCACAAAGTCAGGAAATAAGCTGTCAAGTTTCATGAAGATGCATGTAGCGCACTGTGATCATTTAAATGCAACCATACAAAACAAAATCACAGTTTATTACCGTAAACATACATTACTGAGTACAGAAATATTTAGGAGCATAATTTCGTATAATTAACGTAATTGCCACAGATATAATAGTTTAAAACATTTGGCAAGAAAAACGAAAATACAAGTGACTAAAGTTAGAAATTAAAGTAGTTTACTAACAAAAACTGGTTTTTATAACATTAGTTTTATATTGTACGTAGGGAGTCCAATGAACAACAAGAATATCATAGATATTGACAAACTAAAGTAAACCTGCTTTTTACATTTTTAAAAAAAGGAAGAACAGCTACCTGAAATTTCAAGACAAACAACAATGAAGTGTACTCTTAAAACATACAGTAAGCAACAGACAAAATGAATCAGAGCATAAGGTTGATGCTATTGTTGGGCGGTAGTCGTTCATATTCAGCTGGTATTTTAAAGGCACATTTTTGGTTCTAATTGTTGTGCAATGTATATCACAGCTGTTCCACATCTGCACGAAAGTCACCATATCGCCAAATGTTTTTACGTTCTTTTTTTGCTAGTGCTTGCGCATCTAGATACTTGTGGAGCAGATTGCGTGGTAGTCGTTTAAGAAGCTGAGGCTGGATAGGTTCAACACAGACCAAACCATTAGACAACAGTGACTCACTGATGTCTATGTCGTTTGGACAGACAGATGACCCAGATGTTTTAAGATCTGCAACTGGTAGCAATAGTGTCACTGCTGGGACAGGTTTCAGTGATTCGTTTCCACACGGTACTGATTCGTACTGAACAGCAAGTCTCAACTGTTGAAAAAAAGAAGACTAAAGTAATCGACCAAGCGGACTTGGGTGCATTACAGTTTACTCAAAATCTACTGGTTTATATTTCCTGAAAAATATGGGAATATTTTACCTGAAGACGGAGTAGACCACTTTTTCAGAAACACATATCTTGAAATGCAGATAAAGCATCGAGAAGGGAGGATTTCTGAAAAATGATAATTTTCATGAGTCGATAAATTTAAACTACTACAACGCTGTTATAATTTCTATAACGACCCAGCTAATCTTATTGTTTATTCTTAGAAGCTAATTCACTCGATAAGTACCCATATCAGAACACAATTGAGCAGGAAGGTATTTATATTCCAAACAAGAAGGTTGCATGGAAGTAGGAATCACAATAAGAAAAACGTTAGTATATTCATAATTTTTACATAGGGAGATTCTAGAGTCTTCCAGGTATCCATTAGCGCTTGTTGGATAAGAAATAGGTAATCAGCATACCCCAACACGATCCTGCACGGAACATGTCTTGATCCAATCTGTATTTCGCGAACAAACGCAAGGACCAACTACAGGTTTGCTAGGGATTAAATCTCTTTGTGCAAGGGATATTAACCAACTGTTCAAAAATCACAGTAGGTGGAGTGGTGCTCAAAACTGAGTTGAAAACCAAGTCCCAACTAATAAGCCTTCATTTGAATGATTTGATAACCGTTCTGAGCTTTAAAGGGTGATGCTAACAGGGAATGTATCTAAGTGGCATATAAATGAGCAAAATAAATGTGTTCAGATAACGCATCGATCTATACGTGCTACGTGTAGAAGTCAGTCAGTCAGCTACAACGTAGGACCAGGCATATATATGCATCGGTCAAAGTTGCCATACCTCATTAACACAACAAGATGAACACCGAATTCATAAAAGTAGTTAATTCAGAGATGGTAATATCTAAAGAAAGATTGCAATAAGGATATAGTACAGGAAGAAAAAATTAGTTCGTAGAAAGATATGAAGCGATTTTAATTTCTTAGTTTAAGGGAAGATAGAGAGTGTATACACCGACGCCACTGTGATCGATTCTGAGCCATGTCACCAAGTCTTCAACCACTGGTTACGATAGTCACGCGGACCCCAACCAAGTAGTCTGCATCTACCAACATGGCCCAGACTAGAAGTTAGTGACTTCAAGCACTGATGCCACGTTTTGGTTTGGCCGCCCCTAACTTTCTTCCAACCATCCCGAACACCGGTTAGCATTGCACGTCGTGGTAATCGGTGTTCGGCCATACGTAACACGTGGCCCAACCATCTCAGTCGATGAAGATTCACAACCTCATCGACTGATTTACCATCATTCCCTAATACCCTGCGTCTAACCTCGCTATTACTTACCCGGTGATCCCAGCAGACGCCAGCAATATTTCTGAGGCATCTGTGGTCAAATACAAGTAGCTTACGAGTGTCTTCTACTCCTAATGGCCATGTTTCGCTGCCGTAAATTAAAACAGAACGGACTGTCGCGCAGTATACTCGTCCTTTTATTGATAGACGGATATCTCGCCTTCGCCATAGGTGACGTAAGTTGGCAAAAGCCAAACGAGCTTTTCGAATCCGTGCTGAGATTTCGTCAAACACCAACCCATTAGGGCTGATCAGACTTCCAAGATAAGTGAAGTTGTCAACGCGTTCGACTACTTCACTCCCTATCCTTAGTTCAGGTGTTGACGCAGATCAGTCCTGAAGCAACAACTCGCATTTAGAGGGAGAGAAGCGCATTCCAAACATTCTGACATTGTTGCTACCTTGACGTGGTGGTCGGGCTTGCCTATCGTGATGGGGCAACCGAGCTATACTGGATGGAACAACCGTTCCTCAAGATCCTACCATATCAGACAGGTCGGTTGATGAGCGGTAAGACTAAAAGCAACAAACCCAAGGTCCGAAGGCGAAGTCGTACTACTGACTGTACAGAAGTGTGACAGCAGTAAGATGTTTCCTTCAGACAACCAGCATGACAGCGATGCTGCCTTCCAACAAAGGGTCGAGCCCTAAAATACACACCTCGCCTTATCCCACGGATATCCGTCTCCGGCGGTAAGGTCTCAACAAGTACGGAGCTAACACAAAAATTACCCATAAAAAGGTCGTGTGTGACCGACCTCAAGCAGTTGTCCCTTGGGCATTGCGGTCACGCTCCCAGGTCACTAAGACCACCTCTAATCCAATTTCCTTTTCAGGCACCTCCAGAACAACCCTTCCACGGTGTGGGCAACGGGGAAATGATAACTGCCCTCATACCTCTAACAGCACTCAAGACCACTGTATTCATAATCAACCGTCTCCACGTGTAGAAGTGTACGGGACTAAACACCTGAACGAATCAAAATTAATAACATAGACATAATCTAAGAATTACTAAGCATATATCTGTAATTCGGTTATGAATTAGATACTTTGATTTTATCCAACGGTACGCAGACGTTATTAATACGCATTGTACTTCAATGAGAGTCTTATAAAACGAAAAACAAAAGATAAACCCAGTGCAAACACTTCACCTACTTCTTTGTTTTCAACGAGGTCGCAGAAAGCACGCTCCGCAAACACACGATCGGAAGTATCGGGAGGAAGTTGAACAAATGCCAAACGATACTCTTTCATTTGTGGTGGAAGTTGCATTAGTGGGCCAGATGGAAGAGGAGAAAGACGTGATGAATACTCAGCTGAATCGATTACTTCTTCATTACCAAAGTCAATAAACTGAACTGTAACAGATTTGGGTGAACTACGAATGACACGTGCTCGGTACCAGCAATTATCTAAACTGAAACATGCAATACAAAGACTACCTTTTTTAGGGTAGTATTCTGATGGGAATGAAGGAAATGATTGGCTATTCAACATTTGACTAATCTTGACCAGGGTGCACGCATCTGATAAGTGTTGAGCGTAGAATCGAAGACCCTGACTACCAGAAGCAGGTCTGGAGATCCCGGTTATTTGAACAGGTTTCCATGATAACTGCTATAAAAAATGATTAAAGAGTGGTGTTTCACACTTTAGATTTATATAATATCATGCAAGATACAATCGTTTAACATTTGTTAATGGATTTTTTAAGAGAATCTTATTTTGAGGCAGATGAATGTTTAATACTTAGGCACCGATATATATATATCACGTCAGCTACAACGTAGGACCAGGCACATACATGCATCGGTTCAAGTTGCCATACCTTATTAGCACAGCAAGATGAACACTGGGTTCATAGAAGTAGTTAATTCAATGGTGTTAATATATAAAAGAAAAACTGCATATAAGGATATAATACCGTTGTTGCTACCTTGAAATGGTGGTCGGGCTTGCCTATCATGATGAATCAATCGAGCTATACTGGATGGAACAACCGTTCCTCAAGGTCCAAAAGCGAAGTCGTACTACTGACTGTACAGAAGTGTGACAGCAGTAAGATGTTTCCTTCAGACAACCAGCATGACAGCGATGCTGCCTTCCAACAAAGGGTCGAGCCCTAAAATACACACCTCGCCTTATCCCACGGATATCCGTCTCCGGCGGTAAGGTCTCAACAAGTACGGAGCTAACACAAAAATTACCCATAAAAAGGTCGTGTGTGACCGACCTCAAGCAGTTGTCCCTTGGGCATTGCGGTCACGCTCCCAGGTCACTAAGACCACCTCTAATCCAATTTCCTTTTCAGGCACCTCCAGAACAACCCTTCCACGGTGTGGGCAACGGGGAAATGATAACTGCCCTCATACCTCTAACAGCACTCAAGACCACTGTATTCATAATCAACCTCCCTCTTCAATTCTTATTCGTATATAAATAATTTGCACATTTATGTTCTTACTTTGGAAAATTCAAATATATGCAGGGAGAAAATATTGTATCCCCAAAAAAAATTCAAAGAACATGCTTCATACCTTAATATTATCATTATTGATCACAGTTGTCGAATCACTATTTTCATTAAGTTGTAGTTCTGATAAGTCGTCCAAATATTCTGAGAAACCAGTCAGTGGAATAAGACTACCGTCGTCTGCACCGCTCAAAGCAGTGGGATCTGAATTATTTTGGACTTCGGCTTCCCATTCCTTTACGAACTGATCGGATGACCACAGACCACACCGATTGATTTTGGCATCTTCTTCTGCTTTTATCATATCGTGATAGTGAGGTGATCGTTCAGTTGTGGGAGCCCGATGAACAGTACCGAAACCTTGAGATATTAGTAAGACAGTTAGATTTGTTTTTTGTCTAACAGTAGTTTCGGCAACCTTTTTTTTCTTTTTCTTGCCTGACGACTTGTTAGTATCTGGTCCATTGTTAGACAGAGAAGGAATGTCCACGAAAAGATAGCCAACGAAGTTCCCTACTCTATCAATTGTTTCTACCTTAACTTCAACGTTACGATGCATGCACAATTCCTTAACAAACGTGTAGGCCTCGTTACTGAATGGCATATCGGGTAAAGCGACACCATCTGGACCCACTCTAATAATTTAAAGAACAAATAGATTTTCTAGCGTTAATAACAAGCAAATCTTAGGGAAAAAAATCTGTACAAAAGGAAACCGGATAAACAATAGGAGTGTTGAAACGGAAAAAAAATGATGAGCAAGCACTTAAGGAATCCGCTCAACTTAATAAGTAGACGATCACTTACTATTACATGACCTACTAAAACAATGAATTATTTTGACTGTATAACATTAGAGTTGTGAAGGGTAGTTAAAAAGTATGAATAAACAGAGAATAGTAGGGGTAATGTCTTTGAATGCTTTGGTGCAGATGGGAGTAAGGACAGTCTGTTGTCCCTCATGAATGTTGTCATATAGTCACCCGCCTACAGCCACTATCAAGAAAGTTCTATTCAGTTCCTTTTGTTAGCGTGGGTGTAATTTATGGAGGTGAAAGGACGAAAAGTCGATGTCTGGCGTTTAAACCGGGATAGTGGTTAAGAAACGTCTACCTAAGGGGACTGAAAAAAACTTGACCAAAAAAGAATGGCGAACATGGGCTCCAGAACCCTGAGGAACCAAATGTTGTAAAAACCTACTCCTGTTCACAATAGTAAGAACGCTAAAGACAGGCACAAGTGGAAATTTATTCCCTTCAAAACACGACAGTAGCCGAAAGTACACTCATTTGTATATCGATATGTACACTTATTCGATTATTAGTTACAAAAGTCACATATGAAAAATGAGCGAAATTATATGAACATCAAAAAGCAGATAGATTGGGTTGTCTTTGGTAAGTATCAATATCAACGTTTGCTGTATCTCTGAGACCTGTATTTCAGATTTTTAAAAAATACTAGAATTTTTTTCACCATACATCGATTCGAAAACTTTGTTAACTATGAACCTATCTGAGTATCCGGTAGCATTTTCAGTCGATTTAGATAGCATTGGTTTTGCACTAAGTGCCAGGAAAGAGGTAGTACTAATCGACTGTCGTTTATGTTTTGTTAGATGCGAAGAACTTATAAAAGTAAGAATTCAGTGTGGAAAACGAGGCTCCGCCTACATTGTGACAGATTTCAGCGTAACTAAAATCGATGAGCTCCATCATCAGTTAAATGTTTAGATGTAACAATAGTAACTGGAGACTTCAGCACACAAGTTGGGGGACAAGGCATAAAGGAAAGTTACTTTTGTTGTTGACTAGGACTCGTTAGTCAGACAACGAAGTTTTGCGCAGATGGCAATCTATTTTTGGCTAGGACTAACTTGATTTGCACAAATCAAGTGACCCGTGTGGCCCATATATATTCGGTGCTCCTTTGTACCAATATTTATGCGTTCAAGTAAATAAAATAAACTAGTACTAACTCCTGTAACAGTCATCGCTGTTGTCATACCTATTGTTCTTTCTCTGGAACTGAAGCTGGAATAAAGATTGACTGAATAGCGATTGTGTATAAAACTCCCACTGTTGATGGAGCACTTTTTCGGACTCATTTGGTTTGCCTAAATCTTGCCTTACATTTCAGTGCCCATCAAATTCAGCATTCTAGGTGAATCGATGTAAGCGAAGTGGCTGTTACTTACGTTGAAACCAAATATCAAACCGATCTAGGTTAAAGGCAAGCCATTAGCCCACCCAAAAGTATAGATTAGAAATGATTGCTTTAAAACAACAGCTCCGGTAGCCTGTACATGTGTTCAGGACGTCATCCCAGCAACTTCCACATTGTAAATCATTTCTCGAAACTGGGACAGGTTGAAAAAAGCGTAAAGGTGGTCAGTTTATGATATAGTGCCAGGGTATGATAGAAAATTCTATAGGATCGGCACATGACGGCCTTTAATAGGCAATCCAGGTTTTAATCAACAACATTCAATTTCGCTAAATGACCTATACTGACCAAGTGACAGTACTTAAACTCTGCGTACGTTTGAGGTGGAGAGAAGATATTTAAATTAACGTTTACACTTTCTGAACTATTGTTTTTAAAAATGTATACATTGATAAAATGAACATACCTTCCCCGGCGTGGACACTGAATACCTCCAAGCAACAGTGTGATTACGCATGTCTCTCGAGGTATATAAATACGGAATCTGCTTGCACTAAATACAAACTCTACCACACCGTCCAATCGCTCAGCACGTTGTAGAAAAGATAAGAACTGTCTAGATTTAGCTACATTCCCTAAAATTTTAAAAACGATCACATTGTTTTACATGACCTTTTATTGAGATAATAATAATTTAAAACGAAATCATAAAACAAACATGAGAAGGGGTACTGAAGCACAAGTGTCTTAGTGACTTTGAACCGATAGGTCGCACTCCTGAAAGCTGTTCTGTCCATTCTGATTCAGGTAACCGGGAAGGACTGTTACTACATAAACCTATTACATCGAAAATATTATCAATTACTTGCAAAAACAAAGTGTAATACAGGTTTAAGCAACTGCTGGGACTAAAGATTACATAATGCGACAAAATTTAGATAACAGTAAATTGAGGATCGCGAGTAGATGCCCTCTTGGGAAATAACAGACGGAAACCAACAAACACTGATTCTAGGAAATAAAAGTCTATTGGTTGATATAATTCTCGTAGTGGCAACTGAGTGGTAGAAATTATGGAATTATATAGACTACGATTAGCGTCAGATCCCCAAATTGGAAGTTTTCACCTAGCTAAGTGACTTCAGTTAGCTGAAAATGGGATTCCCTTACCACGTTTCCCCCTGATCTAATTTCTACGTTAGCCAGCATTAAGCGTCGAAATAGTTAGTGGTTAACCATAAATGTTTCATCTAACAGGTCAGTGTTTATAAAGCAACTATGCGGAGTTGGAGTGAACTGCTATTTTTACCAACAATCAAGCACATTATTTTCATAAAGTGATTTGCATAATTGAGTACCTCACTCCATATGATTAGAAATGTCATAGGTACAGACAAGTTCTGAAGTAACATTTCGCGCTTGAGAGATTAGAAACGCACCTGAAAGCATTTTGACGTCACTTAGTGGGTGAAGCAGTCCTATTGCGTATGCAGCCAAAATAATCAAAATTGTCATTTGCGCAACCAATAAAATAATAACTTTAAATATGGAAACTCCCTGAAAATCAGTTATTGAAAGTGTCGTGTTTATGAAGTCAATACAAAACCTTCTGACTGTCACAAGGGAAATTACAAATCACGAGTCAGACTGTCTGTATGAAGACCTAAAAAAGATAGTTTGGATAACATACCGACAAAGATAACCGTTTCGTCTTTAGCTGTCTCATAACTACTCATTTAAACGAAATGATTGGAATGTACATGCTGGAAACCAAACGGTACAGAAAACAAATGGATGAAGTCAAAATAATACAAAAAATATTACCTGTGAGATCGGCAACACGATGAATCGGGGGATCTTGTTTGCTATACATTCCGAGTCCCTTAGACTGCGCATTTTCTTCTGCCGCAAGAAGTTCGCCGTAAAATACAGAACGAGAATCATTAGCATTTCGATAACGGACTACAGAGGCCAGACCTTTTGAAACTAGGGTCAATGCAAGGTTGACATCATCAGCTCGCACTGTAGCACAGACACGTTCATCAACAGTATTAGATGTCTTCGGTTGAATGTAATCAACTTGAACAGTTACCTGTATATCAAAGACACAACAATTACGTACTAATAAAGTATGTTTTCCGTAACCCTAATGAACTACTGTTTTACGGAATATTTTGCAAGGTACGGGTAATCATTTGATTCATTGAAACTTGACTTACTTGTTTTCCGACGAACTGGCAAAGTACCTCTCTAGCTTCAAACACAAAAGGTGTGTCGTAAAGCGGACGAATACGACCACGTTGGACAGAAGAATCGTCTTCCTTGCTGCTGGTCTGTGGTCGTGGAGCTCTTATGCTGGATAGAAAGAATTTATGGACACCATCTGAACATTTGATAGAGACGTTATCACCGTTTCCGACTTCACATATCTGAAAAAAACAATACACATAGACCCAAGTCTTTTCAGTTAAGAACAGTGAGTCCTAAGTACTAAAATTAAGTCCAACCTGAAAGAGGCTCCGAAATAACATGTTCACAATACCATAGTTTGAAATGACATGACAGAACTGACACTGGTGCAGTAATTTTTTCACCAGAATACACAGATAGTTAAGATCAGCACAATTTTCATGGTTAAAAAAAACGATTGACAGCCTAAGTCGTTATTTACTTAAACTCGTAATCTACATCGCCATGTGCAAAAATATCCTAAAACGAAGGGGAGAATATGACATCGCACGAAGATGGCTGAGGTGCCAAGAGGGAACCAAAATAACGTTATCCCTATAGCCAAGGTCCATTTAGCTTCAGATTACTCTCAGTAGATACACACAAATCAAATTATCTGTGTGGCGCATATATATATTTGGTGCCCACTTTCACCAATATGTGTCCAAATAAATAAATAAATAAAATAACAAATAAAGTTGGACGAGCACTCACAATTCCACTGAATATTTTCCCTGGAACAACTGTTTGAAGACTGTCTGCATGTACTTCCGTTGTTTGTGTGGGCTGGTAGTTTTCAAACACGCGTAGTCGATTTTCTTTTGCAAGTCTTTCAGCTATTTTATAGGCTTCAGCAGCACCTGGGACGCTTACCAAGTTTAGATTCCAATCAATACAGTGAGCAAGACCATGACGCAGCAACAACTCAGCTATATTTCCATTTGGATGGAGGATGCTTCCGACGAAAGTTTGATTAAATACAGATTCCAACAGTATAGTAACGTCTCTCTGTAGCAGTCTGGATTCGGTAAAGAATAGCGCATCGAGACCCCACGCGTCGGGAACCTATAAACCATGAAACAACGATATGCTAACTCACAATTTTTCCATCCTCATAACGTATCGATGGCGATTTAATCCCTGACATTGTGACAGTAACGTATACAAATGTATTTGGCTTTTCATTAAGGGATTCAGGTAGAATGAAGACTTGTACAGAACAACCATCTCGAACATTTTCGACAACAGCTTTAAGTGGTCGGTTTTTGTAGCTCTCAAAGAAGCTGCGAGTATTCTCGACTGACCAAAGGATTTCTCTTGTAACAGGGAGGTTGGGAGACCAACGACCCTTACCAAGTGACTTTGCCTGTTCTTGAGCGGTTACTAGTTGCTGATAAATTTTATTTTTGGCAGCTACTGTCGGATTTAGCTTTCTCACTTCAGCTAAGCCTCGTTCCACTAAGGACAAAGCAACATTTTCTCCACTGATATTTTTCCCTGATGTAAGAATAAATAAACTAGCTTAAAACGTACCAACATACACACATCCATATTTGCGACCAGATGGCTGTTCTGTTTCGACAGAATAGCAAACTTCTTTACCAACTAAAAGAGTGCGAACAAACTCTCTGGCCTCCCAAGCAAACGGATCTTCTGGTGTTCCAGTGGGAATTCCCGTCGACGGCTTACGAGCAACGCGACCACATGATATATTGGACAAAATAATGGTTCGTTCTGGAGGAGGACCATTTATGGGTCTGTCACGTATTACAATAGTATCTCCCGATAAGACCTATAAAATGGAAATAGCCGTATTGAGAAAACCTCAAATTGCATCTTGTATGTTAGAAACTATTGACCTACTCAGAAAAATAATGTTATAATAATGAACAAATCAGTGTATGAGCTACGTACTTGTTTCACTATCCCCAAGAAATATGTGGTTGTGCTGACTGGTCGTGCTTCTTCTCTATTGTTCACGAGAGAAGACATAGTTAATACGATACTCTTCTATGATACTAGTAACAAACACGTGGCAACACACAAATTGAATAGTTCACGACCATATGTGATGAGTAGAACAAGCATTCGCGCTAGCTTCAAATGATTATGGACTGAATGAAAGAAAGCTTAAGCTTATCTGGCTTCTAATTCTTGTGTCAATGGATAACCTTCGTCTCTATGTAGTGACCCATATACAGTTCAAATGGTTCAAAAAGGTTGTGGACAGAATAAAAGAAGCTTTCGCCTAACGGGCTTCTGTATCTAGCAGCAGTGGATCACCAATATTTGCATGCAGGTGCCGAAGTATATGAACGATAAAAGAGGTAAAATAAAATGGTAAATCATAGTAATATACTATCCTTGGTCCTTAAGAATAGGTCGAATTTCCTTTTAAAGGACTCCTGCGAAGTCGCTCGGATTAGCTCAGCCGGCAGCGAATTCCAGCATTTGACAACTCTCGAGGAGTAGAAGTTGTGTCTACAGTCCGTTCTTCTGTGTCGTGCCTTCAGTTTCTGAGTATTACCTTTGAGCTTGTGAAGAAGCTGAGCATAAGTGGGTATTTTGTAGGACACTTAGAAGTATTTAGGATGTTAAATGGCATCGAATGCCCGCTATCAAGTCCTCAAGATTTTTATGGGTAATGATCCGATGACTCAAGGGACTATTCACTAGACTTTAATTTGAGTTTACTCTAACTGATTTCGCAGCTCGCCACTATATATTGTCCGGAGTATTCTTATCCCTTTAGTGAAGGAAGAAACGTTATTTCAATACCTTAAATTTTGGTGAACAGAAGTATTAAAAACTGGGTAAAAAGTGCTGATCTAAACTTGCAAGACTCATACCAAGGATATCAGATCACGGTATGCTCTGAAGATATTTTTGTCCAAGCCCGCACAGTGATGTAGATCATAGCATGCTAATACTTCTATATCTATTTCAACGCGGGATACTATGCACGATTACTCCTAGAACGAATAATTGGATAATATTGTCGAACCTTTTTATAATCAAGGAAGTTGGTGAGTAATTTTATTCATGTGGTCAACAACAAGCAGAAGTATCGCAGTTTGGTCTACAGCGCACTGTCCTTACGAAAGCCTCCTTATCGATTTCGGAGTTGAAGGTCTACCACAACTTTCATGCGGCTCACCCATACTATGTTGAAAACCTTGCATGTTATTGGCAGTAGTATGGTGCTTCCGTAGTTCTCACAGTTGTTACGATTTTCACTTTTCGATATCTTGGTTGGGCATCCTTATTTCTGGTCGTCGGTGACACATGTATGCCAGTGGTGATCCAATGATAAGTTAGAGTTTAAGAAAATTATATTTTAGTTCAAATGACGCAAGTTAATTAGCATGTAGCAGTAAGTCCCCGAAATAAATAGTTCTGTAATTTTTCGACACTGATGATGACCTCATTAGTTGCACTGGACACATCTAGCTGAAGGTGCTGGGTCACTAACCCGCGTCAGATCACGAGTGGGCACTCCATGCCATGCAACTCTTGCAACTGTTAGCCAGCTTAGATTAAAAGCTTCCAGATATATAGATAATCCTTCAAGTATATCTTCGAACCCCTTCATTTCTGACTTCTGGTTTGACTGGGTTGGAATAGTTTAATCATAAAGCTGTTACGTGTAAAAGCGTTGTCAAAATCCAAATAGCTGTGGCAGCTTTAGTGATAAGGCCGACGTGATCTGGCAAATCAAACCGAAAACTGTGAATCTGTTCCTTGTTAAAACACTATACAACATTTCTTCAAATTTTATTTTTACCTATTAAGTTAATGTATTCATATTTATTTGCAGTTTTTTCCCGCCCTTTGGTACATAATATCTTCATCATTATGCAACAGAAACTCGAGTTACTTGAAAACAAACATCTTTCACCTCCCACCATTCAGCTAATGCTGTTCTTGCCAGATAATATAGAAGCCTCTTTCTGTTACGCAGAAGCTGACTTCCATGAGCACGGTGTGACTGACCCATGTGCACAACTTCTCACAGTGTTGAAAGTAAGACCGCGCAATTTCAACGGGTACGTCACACCTAGTATGCTTATTTGTGAGGTTTTAGAACCTTAATAGAAGTTTAAAAAGGGATATCCTTCAATGTGGAGACCTGTAGAATTATGGCTTACTTTATTATTAGTACTGCTCCAATAATAGACCTAATCCTAAAATAGCAGGTTTGTCGTGATGGAACTGTCTAATCTACAAGATCTTATGTGGAAGTCACATTGCTGTCTTCACTGACTCATCGTATCATAACAATCACCAATATATGGCGGAGAACACATGTAGGCTGGAGACAGAGCAACTTATTTATTATGAACAAAAACAAGTCATACAGAATGACCACGCCTGCAAGGCTGAGCGATGCCACCGATTGAATTGCGTTTCGGAGGAATGTTCCCATTGTAACGGAGAGAGAACGATCAAAATCCCTCCTCAGCTTTGTTGTTGAACAGTACTGTCATTTTTTTGTTTCTTCCTGTCGTGTATTTTAATCTTTCAGACCTCGTTTAACCAGACCTTTTGTACTTCAGTCTTCCTCGTCTGAACTTTTATAATGTGATTTTGATTAAGGACTTATCTTTTGTCACCTAAGTTTCTACTGTATGTTGCCGGACTATTGACAGTAAAGTCGTGTTTGACTAAGATCAAGATTACGGTATGATCCAGATTGTGGCTGTGTTACGAGGTTAAAATCACCATATATGGTGATGTTAATTGATTCTGTTTTTCTTTCTATTTCAGGGCGACCAAGAATAAATGCCTTGGAAGAAGAAGAACAAGCTCTGCATGCACTGAACCTACAGGATGACTCATAAGACTGTTTTGTAAACCAGCTTTCTTTCCTGTATATAGCCCGTGAATTTTAATTTTCAAATAAACGGTTGGTGGTTTCCATTCCGTGTTCTCTCTCTTGGTGTGAAGTGCTTGGTTAACATTGTGTGTGTTGTGGTTTCAGGTCCTCTCCGCCTTTCAGTGACTGCTGATTACACGTGTTACAGCTATTAACACTTTGACTGTCTGCTTGGGAGGATCGCCAGAATCCCTGTAGATAGATATTTGATTCCATCTTGTCGGGAATATTTTTATTGATTCTCAGGTATCGAGCCCTTTGGTATTAACTGTTTCTTTTATTGTTTATCGCGCTACTTTGCGTTAGAGATACTTCTGACCGTATAGCATAGGCCGTACCGTTCGAGGTATTTTGTATTTTTGTTATGATTTATTCTACTTCCTAAATTAGAACCGTTTATATTGAGCACAGAGTTTGTATTTTGACATAATTTAATACGAGTATCTCAAAAACACTTGGTACGCTATACAGAAGAACGTAGTCTGGCCTATTACAATACATTTTGGATCGTCGGTCCTGCGTTCAGACCGAATACTGGCAGTTCGGTCGTTACACCCATGTTCGTCATTATTGACCTTCTCTTAGTGTTACACGATGAAAGCCTGTTTTCCTAGTTATCTCATGTTCAGCCTTGGGGACTGTGGTTAGAGCCCAATACCACTACACTACTCTCCGACCAGAATCAACGTGGCGTTAGTTCGATACCAAATCAAGTATGATTGTCGCACGCCGGAGGTTACCAGGAATAATAAGAATCTACCGGGTATTGATAAGCTCAAAGATAAATCAGAAAAGAAGTGGTTTAATTCTTGACATGCGCGAAATGTAAATTTAGGTCAAAATTATTTGAGCCGGACAAAGTGGGATTATAATAATTAAGAATGGTTCCGCGTAGGTATATTTTGATAAGTCTCCTTAAGATGCGTAGTAATAGCCTTTGGCTAATAGCTTGTAGGTAGTTCACGTATTTTGTGTTTAGAAATATAAGAACAACTGTTAATATTGGTATTATTTTTGGCTTAAATCATAAAGTCAGCTAACGATCATGCCAGTAAACTGTCCGTATGAGTTGATTTCCAGTTGCTTCTGTATTAGTAGGCTAACTGAAAGAACAAAAGCATAGCCACGGAAAAAAGAATTCTAACCAGTGTTCCAGATAATTTGTCATGTTTTATACGGTTTACTTAGTTACGAGATTTCATCGACCTCATAAAATTCAGTAATACTACTAATACATATGAATAGTTGTCGAAAGTTCTTCCACGTGAAAATAATGACAGTTGTGTGCATTTTGAACAGATAGCGAAGAGAAACTCGATAAACATGGATGCATTCGTGAGAGACATGCTCTAGACTAAATTTTATTTATATTCATATCTACCGGCCGATGGTGCATACAAGTTAGTTGCAAGTATTGAGTTTCGCATAAGTTAGAAAACGAATTGTTACTAATATAGTGATTAGGAAATGTTGAGATCAACCAAGTCTATGTACCGCAAATCTAGACACTATGGTGTTGTACAGTGCTTCCGGATAAATAAATCCCTACAAGATGATAATAACTGAGTGATGCTCATGTGATTACCAGAGAGAACACAAGTCGCAATCAATGAGAATACATTCCTAACTCATGTCCATGGTGACGGCTTGAACCTTTGTCAGTGTTGGGGTAAATTCGACAGTGATGTTTTCAGTTTGTAGGAGATCCACTCGACTGTTTATACTAACGATATGAATACATGATTGTGTTGCTAAACCTCCAATCAGACAGACCGATGGACGTTTGACAAGGACCTATTTAAACAGCTCTTTCTCTCTTAGCTTCCCTAACAGGCGCATGTACTCCTCATCTCATTTCAAAATAACGCTGTAAGTTAGCTGGCTGCATCTACCGACCGGATACCGGAGATCAAAATAACCCTCGACGCTGAGGTTCATCATGTCAAAGAAAAAACTATGTTTGCTATGTTTGAAGCGAATACGAGTTCATCTAGTCTGTGAACGCAACAAAACTCTGTGACCAAAAACTAATAAGCTAGCTATTCTGATGTGTCCCAGCCCCGCTAACAAGAGAGAGAAGTCCAAGATTAAAACGGGGAAATATATTCTGCAAGCAACCAGAAGCACAAGCGATCCCGACAAGTCTATTCGGAAATACACTCAATTATATATTGGTTTGCACACCCATTCTTG